TTGATCCCTTTCCCCCTCCTTTTGCTAAGCCACACGGGGCTTAGTAGAAAGGGGGAAAGCAGGGATCAAAGCCATCCTGCAGCACTTTGATCCTTTTTACCCTACATTTGCTAAGCCCCTTCCAAGTCCTCCATACAGAGTATGTTACCATAGTCTCGAGACTGAAGGATGCCTATGAATGAATGCTAAGCCCCACTTAGATTTCTTAATTTTGGGTTAGAAAAGTGGGGGGCGTCTTATACATGGGGGCATCTTATACACGGAAAAATACAGTGATTTCAGGAGGTGTTTGCTGCAGTATTGAATGAATGAATGAATGGGTGAATAGGTCCTGGACTGGCCCGAAGGATTTTCAGAGTTAATATAGCGTGAGCTTTCATTGACTGTTAACCATTTTATCAGATGCAAGATTTCAGATATATGTGTTTGTGTGTGTGTGTGTGTGTGTGTGTACACACACAAACATTACACATGGTTGGGGATAGAATTGTTGACAGTGAGGTTATACTGAAATTAACATATGGAATGTACTGGTTGATCTCCGTGCTTTCTACAATACTTAATATTGTGTGTCTGTTTAATGGAAATACAAAGCCAGTGTGTGTGAAACTGGAAGCAGCAAGATTTTCTTAGTAGATAATACAGTTCTATAACTACCTGTGTAGGAGAGTCACTGAAGGCACTTTTGTTTTAGATGACGAAGACATGAGTTGGAATAAAGTAAGTTGACTAGTTTGGCATAAATTCGTGGAAGTAATTTTCTAGAATGGCTGCTAGCTTCCTCCCATAGAACTAGTAGTAGAATGGTCATTCTGCTGATTATATATTTCTCAACATGCTGGATTTCACTTTTGGCACTTAGGATTTCTTTGTGCTCTGTTGTGCTGGATTGAATGTGTGGCCATTTTGCTGATGAAATTCTTATTCGTAAATGAAATTTAAAAAGCCAAAGGAACTCCTGTTTCTTTCATGAACTGTGATGTCTGCATCCATAAAATATGGTTGTGGATCATTTGAAGAATTAGTGGGTTATAGCACGATATTGATATACAAGTGAAACAAACTCCCCCACCTCACCCTGGTTCTCATTCCCTAGCACCACATTTTAGTACATTGTGTGAAATGGCAAATATACATCTAAAAATGTTATGTGATATATATTACATTAATTTTCTACAATGTAGACATCTGCGTGCTAGCCCCAGTTAGATCCACAGAATTATCCTTTTCTGTACCTAATGAGCTACCATATGGAACATTTTGAGGGATTTTGGAAAAGGAAAAAGAGATTGAAGCAGTCCTCTGGACAATACAGAAGGACAGTGCAGAAGAGTGCAGTAGGCTTTAGCCTTCACCGCCAACGTCTAGAGAGGAGTGCAACCAAGGAATAAGACCTGCAGCTTCAGTCCAGCCAAGGATTCAACATCAATAAACACAGGTATGAGGCGCTCAAAAATTATGTGTTTACTCATATTTTTTATCACCTATTGCTAGTTTTAAGATTTTCCTTAAATTATGAGTACACCTAAACTTCCTGATTCCTATTTCCCTTTTCTTACTCTGTTTTCCTTATGTTGTAAGCCGCCTAGAGTGGTCGAAATGACTAGATAGGCGGGGTATAAATACAATACAATACAATACAATACAATAAATAAATAAATAAATAAATAAATAAATAAATAATTTTGTCAAAAAATGTGCAAAGTTATGGCATGCTATTTTGGATGGGCCCAATGTACTCCTTATCTCTACTTCTTTAATCAAGGATAAAAGTCACATATTATGCTGGCATGAAAAAAGGCAATGCATTGATAAGAGAACTGAAGGACATGGTAACTGTGGCCAACATTTGTAGAGACTGGTAATGTATTTGTGTTTTCCATTCCAGGTGCAGCACACAAGTATGACACAACTGCTGAGTGGCATTCATGGGAGGGAAACCCTGTCTGATCAGCTGCATTATGTTTTGTGATAACAGATTCAGCATACTTGTGTCAGATGAAAGTTCCACATCTGTGAATGGCAGAGAGCAAGGGCAATACATTGGAAGATGACAATGAAGCTCTTAATTTGATGCTGCTTGGAAACACTTTGAAGAAATAAAATCCAGTCTTAAAAAATCTGTTTGGTTGTGACTGTGAGTTTTCATTGTTCGGTATTCATGGCACTATGTATGTATGGTACAGGAGAGGTTATAGTGAGAAACCAAACTTACACTCTTGACTTTTGAAATTGTATGGACATAGGTCACCTTTATTTGCCCAGCGCTGTTGGAAGTTCGAGTTGATTTCATCAAACACCAGAGTGCTGCTTAGACTCATAAACCTGGGTGTGATTAGGAAGCCCATTTTGTGGTGCTTATGAATCACAAGTTTCTTAGAGAAATGTAGTCATACGAGATATGTTTCTAAGAACATTGTTCTATATACAGTGGTGCCTCGCTTAGCGAGTGCACCGTATAGCGATGTTTCCGTATAGCGATCCCTTTTTCGGGATCGCTATACGGAAACATACCCGATCTTCGCAATGGGGAAAACCCGCATTGCGAAGATCGGTTATTGCGGTGGCCATTTTGGAGCCACCGAACAGCTGATTGGCGGTTCCAAAATGGCCGCCGGAAGCCCGGCGAAAGTGGCCGCCGGAAGCCCGGAAATGGCTGCCGGCAGCCGTTTTCGCGCCCTGCCCTCGCTTAGCGAGGGTGCGAAAATGGCTGCCGGCAAGGGGAATCCTCGCTGAACGGGTAAGTAAGCAAGGTATTGGAACGTTTCCCCTACCCGTTTAGCGACGATTCCGCATAGCGAGGGTTAATCCGGAACGGATTAACCTCGCTATGCGGGGCACCACTGTACAAGCAGCTTAGCTCATAGTGAGTTCTGTGATGCTGAAATTGATGATCTTAAAGCAACAGAATTAAGAACAAGTACAGCAAGGATGCAAAAATCTTTAAAGGAGGTCGATTTTTAAAAATTCATTATAAAAGTATTCAAGTGAGGAAACAGGTTTGTGTATTGTGATAGCACACTCTGAGTACATGGAATACAAAAGTTCCAGTTTGGTTGTATGTTTAGAGATTTGGTTTGGACATGAGAGACTTAAATACAAGTCTATGCAATGAGGAGCAACCTTGGACTCATAGACTGTTCATGACAGTCTGAAATAGTGGTACTGTCCTCAAATTTGCTATGATTTTAGTTATTTAGTTATTTATTTCAATCCTGTCCATCTAGACCAAAGTCTACTCTGGGTGGCTAACAGCAATACATAAAAGTAACAGCAATTTAAAATAAAAGCAGCAGTATTAATATAATTCAAGATGGCAAAGAATAGATTGGGTGATGACAGGAAGGAAGGCCTTCTGAAAGAACCAGGTCTTAAGGTTTTGTTCAAGTGCAGCCTTGGTTTATATCAAAAGTCACTTAATGTCAAAAATCACTTAAACCAGGGTTCTCAAACTCAGTTTACCTGGTGGCCGCTGGTGGCAGAGTCTGAGTGAGGCTGGGCCGCATCAGATTTTCCACCAAGCAGAGCAAGAGCCCAAGGAAGGCGCTCAGGAGTTTTCTTAGCCTGGCTGGGGCTCCGAGAAGGAGGAGGGGCGCACAAGCCCTCGTTGCCAGCCACGACTCCCTCCGGCTCCTTCTTCACTACCACTACTAGTAGCAGCAGGAGGACAAAGAAGTGGAGAAGGGAGGGAGCGCCGGCGACCCCCTAGCTGGGGGGAGGAGGGCACGACTTAATTTTCTTTCAAAACCCTTACAGAATCGTCTTGCCAAAGGAGAAAAGCCTCCATCGGTACCCACGAAATTAAACAGAATGAGGCGGGGGCCTCCATAGGTGCGTGTGCATACGCACACACACAAACACAGAAGTCAAGCAGCCTTCCTCTGAGGGCCCCTCAAAAAGTGCAGTCAGCAGCAGCTACCCCCACCACAACAGAGGAGTAAACTTTGCGACGCGAGCCCAGGCAGTCTCCAGAGCTGAGGCAGCTGAAGCAGGACGAACAGGAGGAGGAGGAAGCATCGCTGGGTGCTGAGGCGGCTGCTGGCCGGGCAGGTTCCTGGGGTGCTGAGAGAGTAGAGAGCCAGAGAGCCGCTTCCTTGGAAGAGGCGGCGCCAGTGCCAGCACTGTTGGTGGCTTGGAGGCGCTCTTCGAGGACGGGCCAGGAGCGAGCTCCGCTCTCAGGCATTGCTTGGCGGCGGCTTGGGGAAAACGGGCATCAGCACGACTCGCTCACCGGCTCTCCCCCAAGACAGCGCCTCTTGCACCCTCCATCCGGAACTGCAGCCTGCCAGCCGGCGGACAGGTGGGCTGGCTGGCAGGCTGCAGTTCTGGGTGGAGGGTGCAAGAGGCGCTGACTTGGGAGAGAGCCAGTGAGCGAGGCAAGGCTTTTTTTTTTCTCTTGATAGCAGAGCATGTGTGGACACTTTGGGGGGTCAGGCAAGGCGGGGGCCACAAACTCGTTCAATGGGCCGCAAATGGCCCATGGGTCGCATGTTTGAGACCCCTGACTTAAACACTACTATTCTTGGCCTACTCCATACTTGGTATTGGATTCCCCATGTCAAAAGAATAATAAAGGCATATATAATTTGCTTTCTCTTGCACATGAAATGAAAATTGAGTTATACAGGGTTTGTGTTGAGTGTAGTGAAAGCAGAATCTGATTCAAACAATGACTTCTCTATCTTCATGGCTTGATGTTATGCAGTAATTTCTCACACCAATGTACAAGGTACTATGTTTTGGATTCATAGTGCTTATTAGTCATAATGTCATTCAGCCAGCCGTGATGTGCACTGTTGTATACACCTTATGTTGTCACAGCTTTTTTTATATGTTCATGGTAATGTAAGCAAATGAAGTGTGTTAGTATGCCAAATCCTGAATATTGGTGCAGTGGCAACAATACGTGTCTTCCAGTTGTGTAATAAAAAGGTATAATTGGTTCTAACATAATTATTAGTGTCAATAAATATAAAACATTTGTTTCTGTTCTGTTCTAGAGGTTCTTTGAGGTCTGGGAAGATGGCAGACATTGACAAGTAAGTGTGTTCTTTAACTTTGGCTAAAGTAATATATCTTTTGGAAGGGCTGTGTACTGTATAGCAAAGTTCATCTAGTGATTTAATCAGACTTTCAGGTGTGGCTTGCTCATACATGATTCTGGGTCCAAAGAATTTTGATCTTCATAAAAAAAATCTCAGCCTTACAGTTTGAAAAATAGGCTTGTAGGTTTATGAGTAATACATGCAAAATTTTGGATTTTATTCAGATGTAATTGGGAGTAACAGCTTTCATGTGATGGAGGAACACCATTTCTCTCTCCACCATGCAGCTGATACAATTTTAGCAGCTCCTTTGTGGATCCATATGTACGGGTTTCTGACCTGTACTGTTGCTACCTCTCAAAATTATGTGTATTGGACTTTTCACATATGAGCTTTCTGTGGAGTCATTGCATTGAAGGGTGGTTTGTTGACCAAGCAGGATAGGTGCCCTGCCCTAAAATTTTAAGGGAGTGCCTACTCTTCATAAGCTGCCTGTTTGTCTGCATTGCATTTCAGTTTTAATATGTTTTGAAGAAACAGGTATGTGCTGCTTCTTCAACTGAGTAACAAAAACTGCTAGTAAGTGTCTGGTCTTTGTGACTGTGGAAAAGCACTGTTTAGTGATTATAGCTTGATCACATTTGGGAGTTCACCTTGTTGATGTTTTTTTTTCTGCATACAGAATTTTTAAAAAATGTGAATTTTCATAATTTTGCACAGTTCATGTAGGCTGAAGGATCTAGATTCTAGCATGGGATTTTGCTGTGTTAACTCACAGTAAATAGTCTTGTATTACTCAAATATATTTTTGAGCAGAATCTTTGTGTGTTTTCTTAATCTAACAATTCTCAAAATAGTCCACAGTATTGGTTTTTAATTGTTTTGCTCAGAATGCATTTGGCGTAATCTGGTTTGTGAACTGGACTGTCAAATATAGTATAGAGATGGGCATTAACCTTGGTTCCCTTTCCCTGCCTCCCTGGCCAATGACCCACTCACCAGCCGGCACATGCTCCTCTTCTTCTCTTCAGCTTTCCAGCTAGTCCCTGGCTGGAGTACAGGTTTGCCAGACCTGCCTCCTTGTCTGAGTGGATGATTAGCCAGAGAGGCAGGACACAGAAGCTTGTATTCCTGCCAGAGACTGGTAGAATAGCTGAGCAGCAGGAGGAGAGATTTGTGTGTCATCGGGTGCGTAGGGCATCCAGTCAAGCAGGTGGGAGAAGGGAACATGCAGTATGTGTGGTGCCATGTGTATGAACTGGCACAAAACTCCAAACTGAGGTTTGTGTCCATCTCTAATATAGAACATTTACTGTAATGTCAAATGCAGTCTTCATCTTACTTTATTTTTTATTTGTTTTCCACCATATCTTAGGGATTCAGCATGGCTAATAGTAATTGAATATGTTGGCCTTTGTCCCTTAAAAAGTTTTCAGTACGAATGCATAAAGGGAGTCAAATAGTGTTCACATGTGTATGTGGAAGAGTATTCAGTAGATGTAACACGCAGGCCAGTGCACATCAATGCAGAATGCAGACTATAGAATATTACAGCCTTAAATCCTGTCACGTTGCTAGTAGAATGTCTGTCAGGCTCCAGTTTTAGTGTTCATTTTGAGGATTTAACTTGTCAGAGGCCAATCATGTTGAATCTCAACTTGTCCTGATTTTATTGTGATCAGTAATGATAATCACAATGACAGTGTTGTCCTGCTTCTTTTATCATTTGCAGTTGCTGTTAGTGCTAAGTGCAAGGTAGTACAAAAGGAAAAATGTAAGCAATAAAAATATTTAAAGGAATACATGCATGAATCCATTTTCAATTCAGGTGTCAAAATGGAAGTTGAATTGGAGGAGGTCTGTACAGGACATACATGTTTTTACTAAATGAGAAGATAAAAATCAAACTTGTAGAGGTTTGATTTCAGTTTTGTTTATCATTCTCATAATACTTTGTCCCTTGGCCTCGTTACATTGCACTCTTTCCAACTAATGAGGCAGAATTGTTTTCAGAGAGGTAGCCATGTTGGTCTGTTTCAAGAGCAAAAGCGAAACATGGATTGCAGTCTATTTCTTCAGATACCTTTTAAACCAAAACTGTCACCTCAGGTCAATATTATGATAGTGTAAATTTTGAAACATGTAATATATAGGTATGTTATATCTTAAAAAGAGAGTCAGAAAATTGTCATTTTTATCACTTCTTATTGCTTCCTGTTGGTTTAGATGATAAAAGATGCTTGTTAGGATTATTTTTTAAATTATAAAAGTTTATCCAAGCACTGTTTCCTGTATACTGCACACCAACACCTTCAATTAAAATGCATATAATTTGAAATTATCCAAAGCTTCATTGCATGACAGTGAAATGGGTGTGAACACTAGTACTAGTTTTCAGACATATACTCAAATGCTCAGGGCTTTAAATTTTTTAGAATGTCTCACCAGTCAGTCAGAAATTTCACCAGTCTGGACTATAGCCTTGCAATTTATGTTTAAACTTAAATTAAAATTTAAACTAGGCACTTTCTACATAACAGTGCCTACAAACCCAAAATAAGTATACCCTCAGACTTTGGTTGCTTTATTACCTGCGTGCCTGTGGGGTCATGAAGCTTGTATTTTGAGTGCCTTTCTTTTGAATGTCTCCAGCAAAAATAAAACTGAAAGCAAAAGCGCTTGGCCTCTTAAGGAGCCAGGTCGTTCGGTTGAAATTGGGACCAGGGAATCTCCATATTCTCCAGCATGGGACTACTCTACATTCTCCTGCAGAGCTATATATCTATGTGCCGGTCAAACTCTCTTCTCGCGACTAGAGGGCTGTTTTTCCTTTTGGAATGGAAAGGGGGAGGGGAGGACTGCAGGATCAGAGAGAGAAGAGAGGGACAGAGGGTAAGGAGGGACGGAGGACGCTGTGGCTCGTTAAGCAGCATTTTTTCACTCATCACAGACGAGTGGACAAGTGGATTTTTCAAGCCCAGCAAATGCTTAAGTAAAAACACAAGGGAATGACAATGCAACTGATGGGTTTCTCTCATACTTTATGAATTAGACCAGGATGGAACAGAGCAGGGATCGGGATTCATGTTGTAGGACTCATCATCAAGTTGGACTTAAGTCGCACTAGTGACTTGAGTTGGGCTCAACTCAGGTCCCCCCCCCCCCATGGCTTGGATTCAACTCGCAACTTGAAACACACCTCCCACCTCTCTTTTTCTGGATAAAAAAGCTTGTTTTTAATAGGGACTCATACTTGGGGCTTGGGACTTGGCACCAAAGACTTGGACTCAGACCTAAAGACTTGCCAACATCCCTGGAACAGAGATATCAAGGAGCTAGTGTCCATGCCAGTAATGCTGCAGAAAAAAAATCCCTGTGGGTCATGCATTAATGAACTGGTTCGAAAGACTAGCTTCTGGGCAATATTTTAAACTAGAATATTGTTAACATCTGGAGGGAAGAACTTGTATACTAAAATTATTTGTTTGTAAGATCCAAACTCATGGTTGGACTTGGATTTTAATAGCAAAGAACAGACCGAGCTTGATCAGCAAGACATGGAAGATGTTGAAGAAGTTGAAGAAGAAGAATCTGGGGAGGATGCTAACAGCAAAGGTAAGAGTACACTGTTGAGGCAAGATCATTGAACTTTATTCTGCAGGTAAATATGAGCTGTGCTGTTCCATTTTTTTCTGAAATCTTTTGGTAAATATTCTATGTAATACATGCCTTAAATGCTTCCAGACAGAGTAAGCTGCTTGTAAATTCCAAGTGTCATCTTTCTTACTGCCAGTTTCATCATCTTCCTTGGAATAAAATGATCTGCAGTACAATCTTACGCCTCTTTACTTGGAAGTCCCAGTGGACTGTGTTTGGTGGGCCTCATTTCAAGGAAGGGTGCATGGAATTGCAGATTTAAAAATGCACTAGTTTTGCTATATTGTGCTAATGTGGAGTTAATTGTGTCCTCACTGGTTAATTTTTTTGTGTTGCTTCTTGTTTTGTAAAGCACGTCAGCTGACTGTACAAATGATGCAGAATCCTCAGATTCTTGCAGCTCTTCAGGAAAGACTTGATGGTCTGGTTGGTACACCCACAGGTTATATAGAAAGGTACAGTACACTTTTTCTGGTTTTTAATTTTTTTAATTTGATAAATAAAATTGTAGGCATTATGTCAAATTATAATTATTTAGGAAAATATTAAGTGAAATACAAGGTTTAGGATTAAAATAATGATACTAGGTTAAATTCAGGGCAGGGCAATCTGCTTCAGAAAGGTGGAAATAATTGATGTTTCAGAAAAACTCAAAAAACTTGTTTGAGAGTCATTATTGAACTTCTTTGGATTTACACATGTATGATTGCAATGACCTGTGTTGGGAGGACAGAATGCAGTTATATAATGATAGATCTAACTTCTGTCTTTGAGGCGAGGAGTGGGTTAAGCAATCTGTATAGGGCTTTTAGGCATTAAACATATTGTCTGGAATCCTATTTGTAAATGCATAATGTTGGCTCATGCCTGCATAAATTTGCTGGACATTATGCCCAGGCAAGAAGGACTATGCAATTTTTAATTCAATTTTTTTTAATGGAAAGAAGGCAGAGTAAGAATTAGAGGGGTCTTGCAAAGCTGATTCTTAGCATTTCGGAGGCTGAGCCGGGGAGAAGTGGAAAGAGAAGGTGTGTGTGTGCATGTGCTTGCTCAGAGTTGTGTCTGCTTTTGCATGCTGTGGGACTGAGAGGTAGTAGGCTGTGCACTTTTTAGAAACTTTCCTCTAGGCAGTATTAAGAATGGTGAGATGGTAGGAGAAAAGGATTTTGTGAGTGAGGTATCTGCCTGCGGAAATAGAGGTTGGGAGTTTGGATTTCCTACTGTGTGTTGAAGGAGAACGAGCCTGTGTAGTCTTGGGCAAGTTGTGCAGTCCCAGGGTGTCCCCAGAAGAAGGAAGCAGTAAACCATGTCTGAGTATTCCATACCTAGAGCACCTTGGAAAAGGGTCCCCATACATCACAGTCATTTAAAATGCTGCATTCTCCTCCTCTGTCCCCACTCCCATTTCCAATTAGCTATAAAGTAGCACCAATCTGATAACAGACTGAGGAAAGGCACAAGAAAAAGGAGTTCAGATTGGCAGGGGAGGAAGTATATTTGGCTTGATCTAGCTCCCAAGGACTCAATGCTCATGGCTCAGTGAACTTGCAGAAATTCTTCTTGAATAGCACTTCCACCTTGCCGTGATTAGAGCTACTACTTGCATAATGCTGAGTTACGCAATTGTAGCTGCGCAGCAGGATTTCATAAAATTACTTCTTGACATTTTATAGAAGATCATACACTTTCACTGTGGTGCTCATTTTGCTGTACTGTACTGCCTCATGCTTGACCTGATTTGTCACAGGTAGGTTTATGGTCTTGAAAAAGTTCTAGTTTAAAAATGGGTAAAAATAATTTTATTGATAACATGAATCTATAAGAATGAAGGCTGAACAACTGATTGGCCACATTGCTGAAAATGCATAGCTCATTTGTATTGTGTGGTTCCAGTATATCAGATTTACATCAGTGGTGGGTGCAGCCCAACCAAGGGGTTTGGCCCCCAGCCCTGAACCTGCATGGTGGAAGTAGATGCTACTTTGCCTTTAAATCTGATATTGTTCTGTTTGAAAATAAGTTATGTATGGCATATTACATGTTCAGAAGCAGATTGCTATGTGTTCATTTCCTGCTCTTTTTTGCTGCAGTTGGGTGGGAATGTGCCCCCCCCATCATTGTACTGTAGTTACTATGGACTGTATGTGAGCATGTGTTCATAAATCAGTGCCAAGTTTCAGTTTATGTTGGCATCACAGGAAAGCCATGTTTGTTCTATTACGCAGCACAAGGTACAGATTGAGGGAGCCTTTTTCTTATTGAGTGACTTTGCTTTGTGGAGGCATAAACTAGCATGGGCAGATGCATCTTATATACCCTCTCTTTCATAAATATCTTACAAGAGAGAATAGAATGGTTGTGGTCTTAATGTAACATCATTGCGACCTTAACCCTTTCCTATAACTATGCATTCTTTCAGATACCACTATTTTGTCCTATTTTCTCTATTTCATTGGAGGAGGTTTGTGAGGTGCCACTTCAAGGCATATGAGACACCTTGAAGCAGCACTTCCAACAAAGAGTTCTTCTCCTTGCCTTTGCTGATGGAAAAGTAAGGAATGAGGGGAGTGTGGTTTCTTACAGAGTGCCAAATAGGATGGAATTAATACAGCATCAGGATGAGAGGTCAAGATCAGAATAGAGTACAGCATGAGTTACATAGAGCCCATAGATTAGCAGCTATATCCCCTTCCCTTTTCTAATATACATCCTGCACAGAGGTTTGGCACAGTAGTAAGAATTTTGACTAAAGGCAGTGCTGCCCATCACTTGTTTCAGGGAGGTTGAGAACAGCACTTATAGAATACTGTATTTGCCGGTGTATAAGACGACCCCAACATTTCCACTCAAAATACAGCGTTCGTTATATTATAT